CTTTGTCCCATCACACAGAGTTCTTCAAAACTTTAACAGGCCTCTTTTGTAAATCCAGTAGGAAAAAATCAGGTCACTCTCTTGGTTTGTCATTTGTATTTCTCTTTTCAATTTTACAGTCTCAGCCAATTTCTTTTGTCTATCCAGTGAAACATTCTTTTCTAAATCTTTCTCTTGGACTGTCAGTTGTAAATCCATTTTTGATACCATCTCTATCTTGTCAGCTAAAATTAATTCTACATCTATCATTTATTCAATAGCATATTTTGGACATAGTCTATCCATAGAAGCAGACATCCATTCTATACTTCAGAAGTCTTTTTCAGTATTTTCATTGTTAGAACGTTTTGCAATGTTTTGCAGGTTTGCAAATCTTTCTTCTATCTAAAAATGTTAGTCCTCTCTAGTGTCCGGTTTTTGAAATCAGGAAATTGCTTATCTTTGTTTTGTCTTATAAAAACCAAAACAGAATCTATTTTCTACAAGAAGCTGTTTGTTCTTTATAGTTAATTCCAAAATCTTACTGTAAAAGTTTCAATATTCTAATAGAAGAGAATATATGTACAGTAGCTCAGGGTTGAACTGTGAAATCCTTGGTGCTCTCTGAGCTTGGTTGTTGGCTTGCAGACATTTCAATACCTGACTAGGTATCATCTTTGATGTCTGCTCACTGGTTCCTTGGTCTTTGCTGCGGCTGTTGGCTCTGCTTTTGCAAAGTGATCTTCAGTTCACTATACCTCCCCCAGAAGTCTGATGTTATGCTTATTGGTAATAATGTTTTAAAATGAGCTTATATTAGGATCAGTTTGCAGAGGAAAGTGCAATATGAGCATTTAAATATTATTGGTCATGGATGGTTAGAATTAGAAATTGGAAGAAGATAATTCAGGCTCCCATCAGTCTTTAATTTGAATGACTTCTAACAAATATAAATCAGTACACCTTTTCAGCATTAAAGCTTTTCAAAACACCCATTTGTCATGAAAGTGTACGTACTTCTATTTCTAAAGGGCAAAGTAGAAAGATGTATATACTCTTGTTTAAGTTCAAATGTTTTCTGAAATTTCAGTCAGTCTTTTCTCCCCACCTGATCTGCTGCTTTCTGTCATGTCAGAAGATGAAGTTTTTGCTGCTGCAGCAAAAGTATCTAGAATATCTGGAGGATGGCAAAGTTCTGGAGGCACTTCAAGTTCTGCGTGGTGAATTGACACCACTGAAATACAACACTGAGCGGATTCACATCCTTAGTGGGTAAGTGTTTTAGACTGAAATTGTGTACATACTTGAATTTAGTTATATTTATCTTTTTATAGAGCTGCATAGAATTGCATGGCCAATTTCAGATAAATAGCATTTTCTAGGCATTTTCAAAATAGAAAATTTCAAAATCAAAATTTGAAGATGAAGGAGTTCAAAGCATCTCCTATATAACAATAATCCAAGCAACATGCTAATGAGGGAGAAAATTGGAAGGCTTGTGCAGAAGTAGAAACATTAGTAGAAAAATTAGAGAAAAAAAAGGTTAGACCAGTGAAGACTGAACAAGCCTGGAGGCTAAGGAAAGCTGACTGAGTGAAAGTCAAGGAGATTAGGTATGGTTGACTAAAACCCTTAAGTATGTGAGTGAATGAATGAGAGTGTGTGTGTGTGTGTCTATAAATCTGTATATATATATATAATGGGTCTTGGTAGTTTTAACTTTAAATCATGTTGCTATTAAATTATTACTGTTCTGAAATTAATATACATATTTTTCCCTCTGATTTTGACAGTTGTTAGGAACATTCAGGGGAAAGGGGATATTTATCAAAATACAGAAGACAATGTATCAGTTATTGATAAAAACTAGAAATTGTACTGCCTGGGGATTTTTCCTTGCACAAAGGAAGGCATATCATTTGTTTTTTTAAATACAGTTACAACATTATGCCCTTAAAATTTTATGGTTTCATTTATTTATGCCTCATTGATTACATACTTGAACAATATGTTTGAATAGTTAATTAGACAATCAATGTATTTGAATGTTACAGATTAAACTTTTTCCCCATATATTAAAGTGTGCTTAGGATTCAGACTACTGTGTTAAATAGCTCCTTAACTAAATCAGTCTCTTGTTTCTGAGTATATAGAAGCTGTATCCCAAGCACTGATTCATAATCAATTCAATGTATAGTTCCAAAATGCTTAACCCTTGTGTTTCTTTTCAATATACAGATATCTGATGTGTAGTCATCCAGAAGACTTGCGCACTAAAGCAGAATGGGAAGGAAAAGGAACAACGTCTAGATCTAAACTTTTGGACAAGCTCCAAAGTAAGGAAGAAAATTAGTTTCGAAAGGACACATATCTCCCTGTCTAGATTTCCAGCATATTTCATTCTGAACATACAAATTTTGATCTGAAAGTATAAATTCATGATTGTTAGGCAGTTTTGATTTCAGTACTCATAAAGACAGACAAGAACTTACTAGGTGTTATGCTATCAAATTAATGCCTCCCCCATTAATGGATTGCTTCTTCCAGCAGAATGGAGAAATGTGTAATTCTACCTCTCTGAGATATTCCCACTTTTACAGTCCCCAAATCTGTTTTGGAGAGTTGGGAGATTCTTGGGCAGATTGGGATGTGTTAAGAGACTGAAGGGTAAAGTGAAGAAGAAAATGGCATTATATGAACAGAACCCTACTTACAGGATGATAAAATTTCATTTGTTATCTAGTAGCTTTGGCTTAACTAAAATTAGACACATAGGTGGAGAATATATATGCAGAGAGTCACTTTTTATGAGATGGGCGGTATCTAAATTTGAAATATAAATACATATTTCACAAATTTGTTTTTTTTTTTTAATGAATTGGTTGCACTGAAATTGCCTTTTCATTTATTTAAGCTTACCTACCCCCATCAGTGATGCTCCCCCCAAGGCGTCTGCAGAATCTTCTACGTCAGGCTGTAGAGCTACAGCGGGACCGGTGCCTCTATCACAATACTAAACTTGATAATAATCTAGAATCTGTATCACTACTCATAGACCATGTTTGCAATAGGTAAGAAAATCTTTTAATTTTAAGGGCAATGGCAATATCCTTTAATGCAGCAAAATTAATTTTAAACAATTAAAATTAATAATTACTTGTGATGGTTGATTTATTCTCTACCTTTTACACAAGTAAGTATTCAGAGTGACTAACAAGAAAATAAAACATTAATCAATTTTTAGTATTTTAATTTATCTTTAACAATTTAAAATTAAAAAATGTATATTTTTGTTTGAGTATGTAGAAAGTGGAGGGAAAACATTTTTCTTAGCCAGTTTACTTATTTAAAACTGTTACATTTTTATAGATGTACTAGCGATCAGCTTGGAAAAACAATAATAATCAAGATGAAGAATTATATAGGCTTTATATCCTGATTCACTGAGCATAACATTTTTGTTAACCACATTTATCCTGAAATAGTTAAGAATGTCTGATAGTTCTGCTGTTTGCAGAAAGTGGTGATTTTCACTTAGAGGTAATAGTGCTTTCCTGTAATATTAACTTAGAAGTAAGTTCCACTCAGTGGGGCTTACTTCCATCTAAGAGTATGAGTAAGACTGCAGAAAAAGATTTCAGTTTTTTTTTAAAAAAGAGGATGGTAACATGAATGGCAGTTCTTCACACATTTAATATGCATTATGTTAAATCCTATTGAACTCAGGAAGATCCAGGCAGCCTTGCTGTATGCAGGATTGCAAGAATAGATTCCTCTATCAGACTTTAAAGTGGTAAGTTAGAAATGAAGCTTGCAGGACAAGGCTTTATTTCAGAAATTCTTAATTTTTAAAATATATTTCAGAATTCTTTCTCTAAAATCTGAAAAATCATAAAAATAAATCCTGTGAGGCTAGTATTGTAGCGAGGCTTGAGTCTGATCAATAGAGATATGCAAGACATTTGAAAGACCACTCTGCAAAGTGTAGATAAAGCACCAACACATCAAGGGCAGCTGTAGTCCTCTAAAAGGTTTAACATAGCTGCTTTGAGGCCTTTCTCTGATCAATCTGCATGCACAATTGCTTTGTTTTGCAGTCTCAGCAACAGCATTGACACATGCACAGACAATCTGAGAAAGCCCCCAAAGCTGTTGCTTCAGCCTTTCTGGAGGATGCAGCTGACTCGGTGCTTCAAGGAGGAATGCTTTACTTAGGCCAAACATGCCTTGCAAAGTGTTCTTTCAAATGCATTGGACAACCCTACTGATCAAAACTGAGGCCATATTTGTCTTCGAATTTTCAGGGCACTGATTCAGAGAGCTCATTTCAGAAGAACTCATGGCCTTAGGTGAGGGTAGGAAGCCTTGTTATAAATAACAGACCCATATGCAATTTCACCAACTGATTTTGAAAGTCAGTTATATTTTAAAAGTAATTTGTCTTGCATCATAGGAGGTTGTCTTTGAAACAACTGAAGTTTCATGCCCCTTTGGATCCTGATCACATTTGGCAGTCCTCATATTCACAAAGAGATATATGGCAAGTAGGAAAAAAAATAAGATAGGAGACAGGAAAACAGGAAATTTGATAAGAAGTATTTATGATGTGTTTTTCCTTTTTGTGCATGCTATAGTAGTTTGTCTGATGCTGATACAGATATTTATAGTGGTGAGAGAATGTTTGTGAATCCTTTAGAGCTGTCTGCAATCCTGTAGCATTTGGCCTAGAGTGTAATCAAAGCTTCATCTAAATCCAACAAACAGATGTTAATTAAACAAATATCAGATAAAACAACGTACTGTCTCATATCTTCATTGAACATATTGAGCTAATATTCACTATCATGGGAAAAACATGTAAAACCCTAGTAAAATCAGCTCTTTTAAGTGGGTCAGTGGAGTCAGATTAGGATTGATTGATTGATTGATTGATTGATTGATTGATTGGATTTATAAGGCCACCCAACTCAAATGATGAGACTCTGGGTGGCATACAACAAAATGCTCTAATCAGTGAGATGATGATCAGGTGTGATTTTGAACTGCCTTCTGCATTAAACACACACACATACTCACTAGAAGTATTGTGGCATTACCTGAAGTGAGCAGTTTATGCAGGACAGCCTAAAAATGTAAATGAGGATGGGGCAGGTGTACTTCCAAAATGATGTGCAGGATTGATCAGCGGGTATAAGAAACATTGGGCTGAAGTCATTGCTGCTAAAGGAAATGCCACCAAATCTGAAGCATTGCATACTTTTCTCAACAAAGATGGTGAAGTTGGCTCAGTATGTTCACTGGAAACATGATACAGTATACTGTCTTACATATTGTTTATTAAATTAGAATCTCTTATTAACAGGACTTAGACGAAACTCAGATCAGCTTGCAGGTCACAGTTCTGCAAGATGACAGATTGTTCTAAAGGGTTTACAAACTCTTGGTTTCCACTGTATATTAGCTCACATAGAATTGATCATACTTTTACTACGTAACTATTTGTTTGCTTTTTAGGAAACATTTTCCATGTTATACACAGCAGATACTTACAGAACACTGTAATGAAGTATGGTTCTGTAAATTCTCCAATGATGGCACTAAACTAGCAACAGGATCCAAGGATACCACTGTTATTATATGGCAGGTTGACCCTGTAAGTGTAATTCTGTGTTGCAAAATGTTTTCCATAAAATTAGATGCTTTTCTCCTCAGTTTAATTTCTAGTTATTACGTGATTTCTTAAATACCTTGGTATGGTTCTGTTTGCATGCATTTTTGCCTTAAGCTTTTTCTGTCTTGTTTAATTTTTTGTTTCTGTTTTTATGGGAAGTATAGCCCAACAAAAGGTATGCAAAGTAGCTGCAATCTGAATATTTTTTGAGCAATACAGTGGAACCTCGGGTTACGAACTTAATTCGTTCCGTGACTCTGGTCGCACCCCGAA